TTCCTCCTTGCTCTAGTTCCCCTTTTCTCATTTTCATTTTTGTTGATATTATTGATCTCAGCTCATATTTATGACCTACGGTGTTTACACACACCGAGATCATTACATTCCTGGGGATGCTCTATCTTCACTCGGCATTCCCTCCCCTTGACCCCTAACCCTTAGTCTCTTGGATGCTTCCCCATTTGGAAGAGATCCACCTCCTGACAACCATCGTTGACAGCTTTTCTTTAATCTTCTCGTATTTTCCTTTCTTTCCTCCATGGGTTCATTGACAGCCATCCTGAGACCTTTAAGACTTGGCTAATTTCTTTGGGCCTGCTAGGCTTTTCTCACTAATTTCTACAAGGCTTTTCCAGCTTCTGCCTGATCCTAGGCCCAACGTCACGTGGTTTTGGTGTTTATTAAGCCACTCCACTTTCTACTACCTAGTTCAGTTCCAGGCACCTACTGCCGCATAAAAATAAAAGATTACATAATAATTGAATTTTCTCTCATAGTTGGATGGGTTTGAAAGTTGAGGTGGGTTTCACTAATTCTGTTTCAGGCTTTGATCAGTTGCTGTAAAATAGTGACTGAAATGGGAGCACGGCAAGGTTACTTCTCTCTGTCTCTCTCCCTCTCCCTCCCTCCCTCCCTCTCTCTCTGTCTCTGTCCCTCTCTTTCTCTCTCTCTCCCTCTCCCTCCCTCTCTCTCTGTCTCCCTTCCCCACCTCCTGTAGTCTTAGGGCCTTTCCGTTGGTCTCTGGTCTCTGCTCGGTGATGGTAAATGGGATTTTCTTACATCATGGAGGCCTCAGGGTGGTTAGAATGTTTACCTTGCCATTGAAGGATCCAATGCAAGAGTTTGAACCTATGAAAAATAAGAATCATCTGTCACCAGCTGAATCCAGATGGCCCTGCATGGTATCTGCAAGTGCACGTAGATTCAAGGTAAGGGAAATTTATTCCATTTCCTCAAGAAGAGCAGAAAAGGCACCAAGGGTTAATTCCACTTTGTTTTTTTTTTTTTAGAAATAAAAGGAGGAAAATACTAACAGACCGACAACATTTTACAAAATAGCATAGGATCAGTACAGACATTACAGAGTTACAAACAGAGTGGTAGGGAATTAACAATGTTTACTGTATTATATATTGATATCTTCAATGTAGTTTCTCTAATTTCACTTTGTACATCTATGATTAGCACAAGAATTGTTCACCCTTTGTCAGCAAAAATAGGGAGCCGTGGACCTGCTGAAAGAAGAAGGCCGGAGCTCTGTGGAAAGACAGCCCCCTGTGCTTAGGAATAAAAGTGCGAGGTAACTGTTAACTCAGTGAGGAGTCTATACCACAAAATCTACTATTTAAAGTGTACAAGTCAGTGTCATTAAATATAAACGTTGTGCCACCAGTTCTACTTTCCAATAGAAGATAATTACTTTTTGGGAAGGAGCAGGTTTGGCAAGGATTGAACAATAGTCCGCGAAAAGAAAGAGAAAGCGGGCCCTGAGACTGCAGGGAGACATGGGCCCGGTGGCCTCCCCTTCCGGGGGCCTGCGGCAGGCCCTGCTCCTTTGCTGAGAAATCCTGTTGCTGGCAGCTGTGACGGTGCAGTGACGCAAGGCGCTTCCTATGGAAAGGAAAATACTGACGGCACAGAGCAGGACCAGCTTTCCACAGTGATCTGCAGCAGGACTAAGAGAGGCCAAGCAGAGCAGATAATGAAGTGTCTGAACCTTTTAGCTCTTTCTTAGTACAAAGACGGGTCTTCCTCAAGCTACATCAACCATCTTGTTGAGTGAAAACTCATGTGTAAAAAATATTTACTTGTAAGAACGATACAGGGGATGAAGGGGTCAGCCGGAAAAACGACAGCAAATACAGCCATATTTTACTCTAATTCTGTAGAACTCATCACGCTGGGTACTTAGGAATGAGTCTGCTGTTCTGCAAAACCTAGAGAAAATTGACTTTGAATTTACCTTTCTCTTAATGTATTCTGAGCAACTGTGTTCACGAGTGTGGGGTTATTACATTTCTGACTCCTAGTAACTCAGACATTGGAATGGATAAGGAAAGTGACAGACCTGTTCTCATTCTAGTATTATTATAACTCTTTACTGTCAGGAAAGCCAGGCTGTTTTGCTCCCTTTCTGTAAGAAATTGTCAGTTGATAGGCAAAACTTCAAGAATAATTAAAGAAATAGGATATGTATGCTCCCTGGGGAAAATCAATCTTTTGCAAATGTATTTAAATGAATTCAGAGTCCTTTCCTTTTAATAGTGCTTATTCGGGTGAAAACATTTATTTTGGGTTTTGTTATGGCACTCAGAAAACTATGATGCCTCTTTAAAAAATAAATTATAGTGTAAAAGCCACAGAGAAGGCTGACTGAAAAGGAAAAAAAAAAATTCCCAGGAACATTCTCCACAAGTTTCCTGCTGTCTTATGTGTACTTAAAGTCTGCCAAATAAATCTCAAAACACTTCCTGTTACCTGAGCCTATCTTAGAGTGTCTCAGTAAAAGTTTAATGCCTCCCTATCTCTTATTCAGTGTGCCAGGAAGAGAGATTTGCTTTTGGCTGGAGTTGGATCTGGTAAATGCCACGGGTTAGTTTAGCAGGTGTTGTGACGTCTGTGTAAACTGGAAGCGTTTGACAGTTGCCCAGGAATGCAGGCCGTTCTCTTTGGGAAACTAGACTTGGACGCTTGGATTAGGGCAGAAATGTCAGTTCATCTATTTACTTCTCCTCCACACAAACACCTGAAGCGGAGTCTTATAAATACAAATCCTTTGCCTTTGAGAATTCTCAAGGCCACAGTGCTGGTGTGTAGAACTGGAGACTGCACAGGATTGTCTGGAGGACGGACGGGAAGAGCGAGATCACCCACTGGCCCCGTGCGAAGGTGTGCCGTGGGTGTCCTGAGCACTGCGGGCACTGTGCGGGCATTATCTACCTTGCCTCTCACTGCAGCTCCCGGTGGGAGATGCACCTCCACATTGTACTTGTTATGGTTCATATGTAGATGTCCCCCTCAGGGCCTCATGCGCCCCTCTGCGGGGCTCTGGGGAGGAGATTAGATCATGGGGCAGGTATGCACTCTTGGATTAGTGCACGGATGAGTTTCTAGCTGACCTGCTGTTAGGAGGTCAGATCTGGTCAGAGAAGGTGGGTCCCTGGGAGTGTGGCCTGGAAGAGTTTATCTCTTGCCTGCTCCTCCCTTCTTTCTCTCGCTCCTGGTGGCTAAACCATGAGCAGCCATTCCTCTCTGTGCCCCTCTACCATGGTGCCCTGCCCTGGAGCCCATGGACTATAGACCGAAACCTCTAAACACCATGAGTCAAAATAAACCTCTTCTCTTTGTAGGTCCGCAACACCTCCCAGCACTGCCGACATGAGGACAAAGTCTTTAGCCCGTGACTTTCAGGGAACTGTGTCGGTAAACATGCATCACTATGCCAAAATCCCTGAGAACAACTGAGTGGAGGAAAGCATTATTTGGGCTCATGGATGGCTATGAACATGGCCATGCTGGTGAGCGGGCTCCATGAGCTTGGGCCTCAGGTGAGGCAGTGCAGCCTGGCAGAGGGCATAGCAGAGGACAGCTGCCTACCTCATCGCAGGCAGGACGCAGGGAAAGAGGACCAGCCAGAGAGGAAGGAGCCAGGGAGCAGAGTAGCCCACCAGTTCACGACCCATTGTCCACTCCCTTCAAGCAGGTCCATGTTGTGTTTCTGTGGTCTCCCAGTTATGGCAGCAAATTAAGACCTTTTTCCAGGATTCATCAACCGAGGAAGTGAGAGCCCTCCTGACCCAGTCACTTCCCCAAAGCCCATCAACAACCAGTCCTTCAGTACAGCGAGTCTCTGGGGACACGTCATGTCCACACCTTCCTCACAATCCCAGCTCCGCACTTCCTCAGTTACATTCTCACAGACACCAGTCCCGGCACAGAGAGTGCCTCACCATTAACCCGACTAAGCACTGAGAAGATTTACTAACTGGTGGAAGCTGTGGCCTGAGAAACAGTCTCAGAGGTGTTAACCCACGAAGAGCTGCTCTGTGCCTGCGATGAGAGAGGCTTGGGTGAAGGGTCATCAGGGACATGAGGAGGGCTCAGGTCTTTTGCTCCTCTCCAGCACAGAAGAAATCCGAGAAGGGCCCCTCGCCCCACCATGATACAATCACCTTCCAAACACAAGAGGCTTCTGGGGCCATTGTAGATCTAAGCCATAACACCTCCTGCTTATTCTAAACTAAGGAGAATCATCATGAACGGAGCTGAGCCGACCAATCAGACACCCAAAGCAGTGGTGACTGCTGGGGTCCCAGACACAGGAAATCACTTAGGACTATGGATTTGGAGAGCGATGTGAGAGACCTGGTGCTACACCCATACTTTCTAAGTGTGCTACCCGGGTTCCCGTCCTGTTCTCAGCAAGCTTTCAATTCTGCGTATTCTACCCTTAGTGTGGGGCTTTGTCATTTGCAACTAAAAGACTCTTAATTGATTTAGGAGTTGGAACCAGAAGAACCTTTGGAGCGTTAGAAACCTAAAATGCAGCCTGAGGACTGGCTACATTCTTCTCCTTGACTGACTTCTGCACTAAATCTGAGATGACTTTAGGGTAAGCTCTCACTTTTATAACCCTTTTCTAATAGTCTGTCAGCCTCGGGATTATTTTGGAAGTTGAATAACACTATACTTTGTCTTTACCCAGCTTCGTTTGCTCTGAAAAGTCAACCATTTGATTTTTGTGAGTTTGTTTGCTTCTGTTCATTTCCATTTCCTAAACAGTATGGACTAGACTGCAAAAATCAATGCTTTTGCGGAACCAAACTCTTAATTTTAGTCCTGGCCTTGCAGTTTCCATTGCTTATCAGTGGACTTGAGTTTAGGTGTTCCATCAACTTAATGGCTTCTATCTTGTCCTGTGACTCAGGGCCATCTGAAACACTCACCTGGTAGTATATCATTTGAAGTTGGCTGCAAGCAATAGAAACGAACTCTGGTTTAAGCAAAAAGGAAATTTATTTTATGGATATTGGAGAGGGCACTGGTTCTATTAGAACGTGGGCATATCAGATTTAGAATCTAACAGCACAGCAAGAGGTAATTCACTGTTTTGTCTGAGCATTGTCAGCCACTCACATAAATGACCTCCATCCATTTTCCCCCCCTTCTGTCTTTTTTTTCCTTACTGTACTCAACAGTTCAGTTTTCCGCAGAAGGAATGTAGCTCTCGCTTTGGTTATGTGATCTTCTCTTGGGCCATGCAGACAGACCCCTATGTGCAGCAAGTGAATGGAGCCTGAAATAAGAAGACAGCATCCATCACTCACAGCCCACCACAGGTGGCCCCTGTCTGTACCTCCGCCGTGAGAGAGGGGGCCTCAGATATGCTGGTGGTTGCTGATAGGTGTGGGGGTGTACACCTGCGATCCCAGCACCTAGAGTCTGGGGCAGGAGGATTGAGAATTTAAGGCCAGCCTGGACTAGACAGTGAGAGTATCTCAAAAAACAAACAGAAAAATTGTTGGGGCTTGATAGCCGATAGTGGTAGAGACTAGATAGGCAATATTTTTCTATGTAAGGTAGCCACAATCTTTTTCCTGTAAAAATAATTGAATATATATATATATATATATATATATATATATATATAGCCTGTTTTCTAGAGATAGGCATAAGAGGTCTGACTTGTGGTGACTATGAATTTTCCAAACTCTCTCAAATACCACAATCAAACTCTGGGATCAAACAATTGTGAAAAGTCAATGTTTTGGATTGATTCAGGACACAGAGGCAGCCATGACCTCACAGCTGAAGATATCACAAAAGAAAGCCTCAATTACTGCTTCCAAAAGTGCTAAGAATGATTAGATAATTGTCCAACGCACAAAGGAGTATTTGGAAGGTGACTAGTGGCAGAGTGTCTTTTACTGAGATTTCAAAAAAAAAAATATTCTCTGTATTTTCTGATCACACCTCATATTGGAAAGAGCAAGTCATTTACTTGGTCTCGACAACAGGATTCATGGCGGAAGCATTAGCAATGTGATAAATCCCAGCTGGGCTCTGGCAACTTCAACATCAACACTAAGGGAATTGCATTTTGTAAGCAAAAAACACTGTTTTGTTTAAAAGGCTCTGGTAGAGAATGTCAAAGGCATGTGACTTTTGTCATTTCATCAGGAAGATTATAGCTTTTCTTCTACTGTTTACTTAATATTTCTGGACCTTTCCCAAATCTAAATTACATCTACTAATCATTCACATTAAACTATGGAAGCAGGCTCTACTCTACCCTTGGGTTTTCTTTTACATTTTCACTGACCTGGGAAGGGTCTTGCTGCATTGTCCTGGCTGATCTCACACTCTTGCTATCAAGCTATCCTCCTGCTTCAGCCTCCTGAGTAGCTTGGACTACAAGTGCATGCATTGTGCTCAGTTTGAGTTTTCTTAAGATGTTGTTATGGGTAATATCTAGATGCTCTCCCCCCACCAAGCCTCATGCTACACAGGTGGGGCTTTTGCGAGGTGACTAGGTCATCAGGATGTGATTCTTGTGAGTGAATCTATCCACCGATGAGTTTATAGCTAAATGTGATGTTGGGAGGTGAAGCCTGGTTGGAGCAGGTGGGTCACTGGAAGGCTATAACTCTCTCCCTTGATTTCTCTTCTCTTCCCTTGATCTCTGTTTCTGGTCATTCTGCCATGGACTGTTTCTCTTCAGCCAGGGCCCTCTGCAATGTCACCCTGCCCAGAAGATAGGCAACTATGGACTGAAACCTCCACAAACTGTGAACAGATATAAATCTCTGCTTCCTTACAGTTGTGGGAGTCAGGTATTTTGTCCCAGCAACAAAGGAAGTAAGGGTTTCCATTGAGAAGAACTTCTAACTTGTTCCGAACAAAAAGGACCCTTAGAAGGTTGGAAATATCACAATACTGGGAGGTAACAAAGTGATTTCCACATTTCTTCACCTCTCTCAGCCTGAGTGCATTGCTCAGAACTTGAGTAAGACGTAGACTGGCTTCCAATGGTCAGGAAGAGTAGATCAGCTCTTTTGAGGGTCTTTAAGCTCCTGATGTTTCAGATGCTCTGTTATTTGCAAACAAATACAGGGTCATCTGTGAGCTCCATGTTCATATCTGTTGAGGTCATCAAAAAATCTCTAATATAGGGGCTGGGGATTTAGCTCAGCGGCAAAGTGCCTGCCTGGCAAGCGCAAGGTCGTGAGTTCGGTTCCTGGTACCGGAGAAAAACAAAAAACAAAACAAAACAAAAAATCTCTAATATCTAGCTTGGTGCTTGGCACATGCAATACATTACATGGAACACCCCAATACATACTTAGTAAATGAATGAATAAATGAGTATTTTACTTTAATTATTAAAACTAAAATTTTATATGACATTGAATTCATATATCTATTTTCTTATTTAAAATGTCTAAGAAATTTAAATAATGTTAAACTAAACACTTTTGCAGTTTAGGGAATAAACATTCTCACTACCTTTGAGGTCTTTTGAGAATAGCAGTAGCCTGATTCGGGACACTTCTTCCTTTGTTTATATTAATGATGAACTAATTGACATATAGTTTTGTTTACTAAATTAATCCTTTTGCTTCTATTAATTTGTAGCCATTTTTGTTCTTAATTTTGGGATGCATGAATACTTGATGTGTGTAGTTATATTTTTTTCATTTTCCATTCTGCATTGTATTCTTTCACTTGAATTGGCCCCAACATATTTATTCCTTTTATTGTTGTTATGTATTATCTTTAGTTTGTTTTCAGATCCCATGCACATTCATATGTTACCATGCAATTGAATATTTCCATATAGCAGTATATTATTATTATTACCTTAAAATAATACTCATTTGTATGTTTTTGTTCATTCTTCTTCATTGTGGAAATGGTGATTAATAATCCTACTGCTGAGTGATTCAGAACTCATCAGTGTGATGGCTTCCAAAGGAATTCCAGGCTGGAATTCAGATGTGGCAAAAAATTATTAGGAGTGGATAATATAACCCCACCGAGAGAGCAGGCAGAAAGGAGCTTTGGACCTAGGTAGAGTCGGAAATGATTGGAACCTGATAAACCAAAGACAAAAGGAATTGTAATAATTACTGTACTGTAGTCGGTATGGTTATTTCTCACAAAAGCACTTATATATGGTTTAAAACTTCTAAAATATTTGCACATTTATGCTTGGATTGATAAAAACAATTGAATGGAAGACATAAAAGCCAGTCTTACAAGTGGAGTGAAAGTTCAAAATAAGCAAAAGAGGAAGGGTAGATTCACTACACAGTTCTGGTTTAAAGTCAAACACAACAGAATGAATTTGTGAATATGCGTGGAAAGATACAGAAGTATTTACAGATATGCGTGTATACCACAGTCCAAACTAGGATGATCTGAGGCACAAAATAAGAATATAGTTTCACATCCTAACCAAAAGTATAAAATAATATTTATGAGTCCATGCTGATGTGTATATATGATTAAATAAATTAGTAACTGGAGGAGGAAGCACAAAGTCCTTTGCAGAAAGGTACTGAATTACTTACACAGGTGCTCATCCATCTTGGATCTGGAGCAAGCGTGGGCCGTGCTGCCCATGACCTCTTTCCTTGGGGATGGGATGCACACGGGGAAAAGTAACATCACCGTGGAGGAGCCCAGCAAATGCTTAGAAGCAGGCGCATGGTGAGACACGAAGACCAGTGCTGGGAGGGGCCATGTCTGCCCTTTCATAACAACTCGCTCTCACAAGAGCTAATGCACCCCATACAACCAGCAGCATCCTTCCTTCCTGCGGCAGCACCCTCCGTAGCCTAAGGACCTTACACCTGAGAAAAGTTCCCTCATCTTGTGTGTCACTGTGCCGGGGACCAAGCTGCCAGCGCAGGGGCCCTTGGGGGACTCGATGAAATAATAACCAGAGCACAGAGCTAGATAATCAGCGTCACCGCCATCGGGGAGGGACCACGTTGACAGCAGGTGCCTTGGAGTCGGATAATGAGAACAGCGTTTCACCCCTCTAGTTTTCCACCTCAAAGCCACAATTCCGGTCCAAGCACTACAAGATCATCAGACAAGCCCAGGAGTGCATGTCCTACAAAACACCTGCACAGTACCCCTCCAACAGCCAGTCAACAAACACAAGGAAAATCTAAGAAACTGTCAGAGCCGAAGCAGCCTAGGAGACATGAGAACTAAGTGGAATGGGGATCTTTGAGGGGGCTTTGAAAGAGAAAAATGATGTCAGCTGAAAAACTGATGACATTCCATGTCATCAAATATGGCTTTTAGTTAAAAATAATCTCAATATTGGTTTCCGAATTGTGGTAAATGCCTCATAGTAATAAAAAGTGTTAAAACGGGACAAAGCAGAAATCCCTTTATGATATTTAAAACTGTTCTGTGAAATTTTGGGCTGTGCCACAATTAAATAATGATTTGATTTTTAAGGAAACAACTGCTGTTCTGCAGATGTAAAGTCCTCTGTTTATTTTCCCTGAGGCATGGTGATAGTAGGAACATGTTCCCTAACACCTTGTTCTTGTCGGAGAGCTTTATCCCAGAAACAACATCACAGGAAATGGGTAGAAATATTAAATTCTTGATGAATACATGCCATCGGAAAGCAAATATTCATGTAAGGGGATTGTTACTGTTTACATCAAGAATCATATTCCCTGACAACAAACTCAGGAAGACAAATTCCAAGTTCTTAAGAGCAAAAGAAATGCGACTTCCAAAACAGTGAGCTCACAGAATGATGAGGCCCGCCCCATTGTTCTCAGGGTTTAATTGGAAAACATAGTCACCCAGAAGGTAATTTGAACTGCGACTATAAATCTTTATGAAAAACCATCACCTGGAACAGGCTTTTCATTTGTTTATTGTTTGTTCTTTCATATATACCAAAAATAAAGAAAGAGAAGGGAATTGGATACAATAGAAAGTAAAGAAACCTAACATCCTTCTTTTTCTTTAAAATGAGTCTGTAACTTGGTATTTTCCTACCCTTTCAATCCCTTTCTGTGAGATTTTTACTTAGGAGGTATTTTCTCAATAGATTAGAGTTTTTCCTAAGTAGGTCCTGTTCCAGGTTTTCCTGTCACTGCTTCTGTGACTTTTTTACTTTGAAGATGATTTCACTCAACGTGTGAAGCATGAGCTGAGTTTGTGAAACAAAGATAGGTAAATGGTTGCAACTAGAGAGCATACTCATACGTGAAATAAATCAGATCCGCATGTGTAAACATCGTATTGTCTCCCTAGTGTAAGAACCTGAAAGAGTGAATAAAATCTGAAAGATACAATAGATATTGTGAAAGGGAAAGAAACTGCTCAAAAGGAAAGAAGAACTGAGATGAAGGAAAGGACAAAAGAAAGAAAGAAGGAAGGGAAAA